CAACTAGTTTGATGAATAATACCATTAGAATCTAAATAGGCATGAAAATCTGCATTCATGTGTTCAATACCATTATCAGTTCTTAGGATTTTAACATGTGCATCAAACTGAGTACAAATCATTTTATGTAAGTTCTGAAAACACGAAAAAACTTCATTTACAAATTCAGTTTTATGTAATTTTCGTGAAAAGACGAAAAAAAACTCTCATTTTAAAACTTCATTTTTTGTTTTCATCAAATAAACCCAAGTCAATCTAGTGCAACAATCAATAAAGGTCACAAACCATCTATAACTAGAAAGAGAAGTTTTACGACCCCATACATCAGAATGAACAGTAGCAAAAGGAATCAAATTTTTATTATTAATTGGAGAATACGAATGCCTGGTGTGTTTGGCAAGTTCACAAGCATCAAATACTAATGAATCAAAATTACACTTAACAAACAAAGTGGGAAATAAACGTCCTAAAATAGAAAAAGAGGGATGTCCTAATCTCCTATGCCATTGAATAACTTCATGGGAAGGATCCATTGAATAACTTCAAATGGGAAAGGAATTTCTAGAAGTTCCTAACAAAGCTTGACTTGTACTCTGCTGCCGAATTTGAAAAAACGACAAATATCATCCAACAAATACAGTCCATCGCAAGCTACCACTCCCGACTGCCAATCGTTCTCCCCGTGTTCAGTTCCTGAAATATACAATGAGTAGGGTAAAAGGTTACTTTGCAATTAAGCGCTTTTGTGATTAGGCTAATAGGTAACAGATTAATAGGAAATCTAGGAACATGGAGAACAGAGGAGAATTTAATATTGGAAGTACAGTCAATAGAACCTGTGCCAGCAATCGGTACTAAGGAGCCATCCGCAATGCGAATTTTGTCTGTACCTTGATACTTAAAATATGTGAGGAAATGTTTTATCGAGCCTGTTGTATGTTTATTTGCTCCTGAATCTATAACCCAAGAGGGTTTTGCAATTTTTGTAAGAAAGGTAAGAAAAGCATTACCTAAATTAACAAAATTAGAGGTTGCAGTTTGAGTTGAGGACGAATCAAGCTGTGACAACAATTGTTTCAAGGACTGAATCTCCTTATTAGAAAAGCTACCAGCAGTAGATGGTTCCTCAGATAAAGCTCCACTATTAGATATGTGTGCCTGTGGTCTAGAAGAACTGACCCGCTTCCCTCCACGCCCTTTGGTTGGGCATCCATGTAATTTCTAGTAGAACTCCTTAGTGTGACTATTCTTACCGCAATAGTCACAAAATAATTGATCTCTATCTGAAGAACCGCTCTTTGCGGCCTGTATATGTTCCCTTGTAGAATTAGCAATCAACCCTGCTTTATCAATTATAGATCTGTGAACCATAGTGTTTCTCCTAGTCTCCTCTTGCTGTACAAATGAGCATGCTTGTCGTAAGGATGGAAAAGGATCTCGTCTAAGAACTTGGACTCGAATGTGATCATACTCGTTATTTAGGCCAGCCAGAAAATCATACACACGTTCTACTTCAATCAACTTCTGAACTAGAGTTGCATCATCAGTACATTTTGCTTGAAAGTCTTGGTAATAATAAATCATACACCGCGGTGTACAATGTTACGTTCTATCTTCAATCAACTCCTGAACTATGAGTTGCCATCATGCAAGTACAGATTTTGTCTTGAAAAGTCTTGGTAATGAATCCAGTTTCCTGCATAAAACCACTAGTTCAGTCAAAATATGAGCGATAGTCAGATCTCCCAGCTTTGGTTTCATGAACTTTCCTATCGGCAATTTCATACCGTCCTGAGCATTAGTTTCAGTTTTTGGTGAAATAACGTGCTGTGAGCGGACAGCAGCCGATTGATCTCTTAGAGATGTCTCACAGACCAGCCAACACTCACTCTCCCGCACAAACCTCCACGTCGCGTCCGCACCTGGACTTTACTTACCAAGAATAATACAGCAGCACTCTCTTTACGCGACTCTTCACTTGTCTTCAAACCCGCCGCACCTCTCGTCGAAATCTCGGTATTTTGCTTGAAAGTCTTGGTAATAATCCAGTTCCTGCCATAACCCACTAAGTTCAGCAAAATACTGAGCGATAGTCAGATCTCCCAGCTTGGTTTCATGAACTTTCTATCGCAATTCATACCTCTGAGCATAGTTTCCAGTTTGTGAATACGTCTGTGAAGCGACAGCCCATATCTTCTTAGATGTATCAAGAAGCAAATATCCTCGAAAAATAGTTGGCTGCATGGAATTTATTAACCAAGACATAATAAGAGAATTCTTGGATTTCCACTTGTTAAAACCCGGATCTGTCGAAATTGGTTTAGTTGCTCCACCATCAAATAATCCCTGCAAATCTCTAGCTTCAATCAATAATAAACAAGACTGAGACCAAGTAATTTGTTCCATCTAACTTCACCGGACTAATCTGAAGTGAGGGGCTCTCTGAGTAAAAACCCATATCTAACTTCTTTTCGTCACCCATATTTGCGAAAAAAAAAAAAAAACTCAAACGGCAGCAGTGGTGGAAATAAACCAAAAAAAAAAAGGGAAAAAATTCCAGAAGGCAAAACTGATGCTGAAGGACCAGTAGGTCGAAGTGGCCTCACCGAGTCGAGGTCGCTGAAACAAGAAACGTCGACGGAGCTCGCCCGGAAATAGCAGCACGCGCCGACGCGTGAAGACCAGCCAGAAACTTCTAGAGACACATGTGCACACGCTCGTGGTCGAACGGCAACGCGGTTTGGACGGAGGGCCTATCGGCGGTCACTCTTCCTTCTGAGGCGAGCGGTGACGACCAACTCCCACTTCCGGCGGTGCTGTGTGTATCTCAGACCACTTTGCAAACTGAAACCGTTGCCAAAAAATTCACGGCAATGGCTCTATACCATGTAGAAATTAAAGGAAAAAATATGTTGTATTTCTTTCAATTGTATTGTGTTTTTCAACCTCTACTTCACTATATGTATACAAAAGATTGTTCCAATATAGGAAGTAATCTAAATAGGAATAAACCTAGACTAGAAAAGACAATATTTATTTTAATTACAAAGATTCCAACCCTATACCAAAGACTTAAGCATTATCACAACATCCAAGATACTATCTAACGAGATGACTGCTCTCCATACTAACGACACATGGGAGATGGTTCTGTTGCCACTAGGAAAATCTATTATTGATTGTCGCTAGATTTATACAGTTAAAGTCAATCCTAATGACTAAATTGATCAACTGAAAGCTCCCCTTGTTGCTAAAGGGTATATCTTTGGTTTTAATTATGGTGATACTTTCTCTTATCACCAAGATTGCATGTGTCCAATTTCGTCTCTCTCTAGCAGCGATCAATCACTAGACACATCATCAGTTGGATATTAAAAATGCTTTCTTATGTGGGGGAATGGCCGACAAGGTCTATCAAAGTAGTTAAAAATGTAAGGCGCACTCAAAGCAATGTATTACCCCATCGCTTTAAGCACAAAGTGCAATAAAGCGCTTCCTCCATTGAACGGAATTAGAAAAAAAAAAAAAAAAATCAAAAGCTAAGACTCATGGCCATTATGGTCAGAAAAAAAATTCAGCATTGGAAAATAGAGTTCAAAAAATTACCTAACTGCTAGTGGAATATCTCCAAGAATCCAAGTTTTAATTGAAAAGTGAAAACCCTATATTTTACTAGTTTAATTCTGTCTCCAAATCCAAGTTGTCATTGAAGAAGCCTCATAGGAAATTGAAAAGACTCTAGAAGTGCTATTTTTTAGGACTTAAAAGAAAATCCTTAAAACTGAGGGGCTTTCTTGGTTTGTGGCTTTGTAGTTGGTGCAAGAAGAAAGCACTTCATTGGATGCATCTCACTTTTGATATTTAAAAGCACTATCGTACTTGACATTGCGCTTTAGCACTTACGCAAGCATGTTTTACGCTTTTGACTACACTAAGGTCTATATAGAGCAACCACCTAGTTTTATTGCTTAGGGGGTCTGAATTAGCATGTCAACTACGTCTATCCCTGTATGGCTTAAAGCAATCTCCTAGGGTAAAGTTTGGACGGTTCAACATTCTTATTCAACAATTTAGGATGTGTTGAACTGAAGCCAATCGTTTTATCTTTTACCACAATGGAGATCATGATAAATGTATTTGAACAACACTTTAGCCATTTTAAAACCAAAGGTTTAGGGAAGCTAAAGTATTTTCTAGTAATTGGGATAACATCCAAGGCAAGCATTGTTATTTTAAAAGGAAATATACTTTGCATATACTAGAAGAGATTGGCATGTTAAACAAGCTTGGAAAGACCCCAGCTTATATCAAAGATAGGTTGAGTAAAACTTGTGTTTGATTGCCTCACAGCCAAGCAATTACCTAAGCCTTTTACAGGCATAGGTTTCTAGAACAAGTGAGGAAGGAAATATACATTGTATATACTAGAAGAGACTGACATGTTAAACAGGCATTAGAAGACCCAAGCATATATCAAAGACAGGTTAAGTAAAACTTGTGTTTGATTGTCTCAAAGCCAAGCAATTACCTAATCCTTTTACAGACATAGGTTTTCACAACAAGTGAGGAAAATGTCTTCAAGAATAGAACATCACGTACTAAGCACAAATTTATTTCTTGGTGCAATAGTGACCACCAAGAAAAGTTGACATGCATCATATTGCACCTCATTATTCATAAAAATAAAAAATTGTTTAGATGATGTAATCTATGTAAAACCTTGAAAACTAAATCATACCTCCCACAACTGAGATATGTCCAATTTCCATTTCGATATAATAATGAAGAACAAAGACACAAATAAACCATGTTAAACAAAATCAGCATTTGGTAAAGTTCTAACAAAATATGAATAGTATTTGATCAATTTCATTCAATAAAAGATTTTAAACATTTGTATAAACTGTAGTATGCATCTTTCTCATGTGATACCAACTGTATGCTTCAAACCTTAGATTAAGTAAGCAAGCAAATTTACTTGATGCCATAAAGATGCTTACCTTCATAGCCACAATTTCTAAGCAATGCACAAACAACATGGCGTGTGGAATCATCATTTTCCACCAGCAAAACCTTTAGTGACCTAAGAGGCAGAAACCTCTCCCAACGAACCAAAGGCCCTTGAGAATGTTGCTGCGTCTTGCCAGACTGTGCATTGGCCTGGACCTGCACTATTTCCACAGACCCATCATTCACATTTTCCACATCCTCATTAATTTGGGATTCATCTTCCACAGAGAGTTCCTGGCCCTCGCCCTTGATCCCATCCCTTGTTTCCTTGTGCTGAACTTGCACATCATGATTACGTTCTGCCAACCCATTGGTCAAGGGATCATTACCTTTCATTTGAACAACCCACATCAACCAGATTCAATGAGGCCAACAATAAGAAATACAATAGATTGAGTAGGTATAAAAACCTCCCTTATTCCACGAAAGGGATTGCACATCCCGTTATCTTTAAGATAGGAACCTTTACAAATGCAAGATCTCAACAAATCCTGCACAAGACGACATCAGTTTCACATAAGACACTCAACAAAATCCACAATCTAGAAATTCATAGATATGGTCTACAATAGACAATACCTCAAGAGCTAACAGTATGATAGTCTATCAAGCTAATGCAAATTGTCGATGAGTTGCTGGATAAATTATAGAAAAATAAAAGAATACAAGATCTTTTAACATTCATTTTAAATTGTTTGTGATTGAAGAGATTAAATTAACAAGTGTAAAAGTATTTGGTGAAGTTTAAACATCTTATTATAAGCTTTTGAGTGAAAGATCCTTCCATATCAATGGAGCAGTAGACACATTAACAACACAAAGTACAAAAACATTGAAATTCAAAATGTGTTCTTGCATTTGAAAAGCAAGTATACAAGTACATAAAACAGAACACCTGTTGATCTCCCCATCAAGAATAGCATTCAGAAAGAAAATACAAACAAACAAATCCAAATGAACATCATAATGAATTTTTACTGAACTGATAATCAAATCTGGAAAAACTAGGCTAAAAGGAAGAGAAACTGTAAGTTTGCAGCTTATACTTAATTCACTGAACTCAAGAAAAAATTATCCTACAATCCTGTACTACCCAGCTACCTCTAATGAAACTACATAATTTAAATACTGCCCTTTTTGTTTGTTTTTTCTGCGATGGAACTTAAACAATAGAAAAATATCACACGCAAAAAACTATTGCCTTTTAATTCCTAAGGAAGTAAAAAGATAGTAAGGTAAAGAAATACCTCCATTTCAAATATTTTCTAGAAAAATAAACCATGAATTTAAATTCCTAGAGGAAAACACAACAAAAATGGAATTGATTCCAACAAATGCTCGTCAGATGCTGAGAAAATTTACCTCCATATTTAGGAGGAGAAGAAGAAGAAGAAGAAATAAAGAAACAAGTGCTAAAAAAATGAGTATCTTTGTTTAGAAATTTTTTTGAATAAGAATGTAACTGTTTTCCTCAATTATCGATAGAGTAACAGCTAGAACATTTCAAAAATATTTATAATATAAATATTCATCTTTCCGTTCCTCAATTTTCTCACAAAAAAAAAATTATGCAGAAATCAACCTTACATATTTTGACCAGATAAATCAAACTGTGAACATCTAAACCGAAAAGGTTACAAAATGAAAAAAAAAATAAAAATAAAAAATAAAAACTTCAGTTCTTCAATCAAAACCAAACAGCAACTCAAAATGTTATCTAAAATTGAACTTAACTCGGTCAATTTTCTCAGAAACCAAACGGTCGGTAAATGGCAAGATTACTACCTCAATCTCCAAACTTCATCGGAAAAATAAAATTAAAGTTTAATGTAATAAACTTCAGCAGAAACGAAAAATAATTTTTCAAGAAAAAAAAGTAAATAAATTTTTAAAATTAAACTCAAGAAAACTGAACTCAGTTTCCGAGAAAATCTTAGAAAGCTGGATATTATCAACAACCAAACAATAATAAATGATAATTATACCTTGTAAACCTCATTCGAGCTCGATTCAAACAACAGAACTTCGAAAAGAAAATCTTGAAAACTTGAAACTAATTAACAAAGCTCAAAAGCTCAACCCATTATTTTCTTTCTCTTTTTATTTTTTTTCTATTTTCTAGGGCTTCTTCAGAAAGAAAAAAAGGAATTGAGAAGAAAACAGCTATACTGGTTGGGAAATAACAAAGGCTGAAGGCAGAACCAGTAAGTAACATGGATATGTCAAAAACTTAAAAAAAAAAAAAAAATATTGTACCGAGTTGGCGACCCAATTTTGCTGATGTGGAAAATGTCGGCTCCAAAATCTGCCATGTCAGATTTCACGTGAAATCTAATTCTGTTGAGCTGGCACGAGATCAAAAGCCGTGCGTTAAGGCAGGCTTTGACGGATCCAGGGCGATCTTGGTCCCCAAATGTGTTGCTGACGTGGACAAAGGCCGGCTTTGACATGCCACGTGATACTCCACATCACGCGATCAGGAATCAGTGTGATGGCGTGGACGTTGATATGGCTATCAATGGCTTGTAATGGATCTTTAGAAGATCTCTTAGATGGTGGGTGACACGTGGAGCTTCGTGAGACGAGTTAAAGATGCTTCGTTCTTTCCCTGCCTTGAGAAGTAAAAACTGACACCTGGCACACTACTAACGACCGAGTGGCCGTGGGAATTTATAATGACAGAAGTACCCTCAATCGGGGCTTTTTTTACAAGGAAGCAGACAAGGGGTTGCCACGTCAGAAAAAATATCTGGCAAACTTTAGAAGAAGAGTTTAGAAGGCTCAGGCCCATATGGTTCGGTCAGTCTCGGATCAAATTTGGATGGACAAAAATCCGCGACCGAACTTTGAATCTACGAAGAAAGTAAATTTAAATTTATTTGCCAACTGATAAATAAATTTATTTTTAAATTTAACATTATGTTTGAAAATAAGAGGGAAGAAGAAAAATAAAGGAGAAAGACGAGGGAGGATTATATAATTTTTATTTCTTTTATTATTTTCATCCTAGGTTTGGATTAGCAGGAAATTGAAAAAAGAAAAGAAAATGTTATAATTATATATTTACAGTTTTACCTTTTTTAAATAGTTTATAAATTGGAGAATATCAATATTGAGAAACAATTACCCCACAAATTGTTAATATGCATACTACTTGTTAACTACCATTTATGACAAATATTTGAAACTAACATTTTTCGAAAAAACAAAAAAAATCTAAAAATAGAAATCTCACACATCACTACTAAAACACCATGTTTAATACGTATTCCACTGCTTTTGAATTCCTCTTTTCTTCTACCTTTGTTTTGTTCTCTCCTATTGACAGTCTCAAAATATAATATTAACAACAATGAATAATGATTACAAGAGTATTGTGAATAGAAAAGCATTAACCCTTTGCCATGAGGGACTTATATACATAGCTGAGATGTGGTTAATTGCATGAGAGATTTGGGGCAGAGATATTGGGGGTATTATCTCCTAATATCAAGCCCATATATGCTCATTTACAGACTGCTCCTTCATTAGTAGGTTAATTCCCTTTTGCTAAATATTATTGGTGTCTATTAGATGTCCTCCCATAAATTTTGAGGACATTTATGTCTACGATAGGCATTTTCTTCAGTATTTGCCTAATGTTTTTCTTCTGAGCCTCAAAAATTTGTTCATTATGGCTTTCTTCAAATGGGTTGGGAAATGCTCGGATTTTGCATGGGTTGTACCTAACTTGAATGATATGTCTTTTTGGGAGGTTCCTTGATTATGTCCTTTTGAATGAGCCATCACTTTTAAGTGCTCGTTTCCTACAGATATGGGTCCAATGGCGGTTATGGTCGAGGAGACCTTCCTCAATCAGATTGATAGCAATCTCCTGATGTTAAGTTTTGCAAAACATTCTTAATGTTGGTGTTTTCTCTAAACCAAATATCTTTCCTTTTTTACTCTGAAGAATGGTTTCTTTGTCTTGAACAAATGGTGAGCAGCCATAATGATACACACGACCGCATTAGGGAGTTGTGGGAGTTGCCAGTGACCTTGGAGTTGGATCTGAAGGCCGAGCAAGCCAAGTAGAGAAGTTGGCGGAGACTGCAGAATCAGGCTATGGACTATAGCAGGTTCATAGGCGAGCTTGAGTACAAAACTTGTGTGATCTTTAAGGACATGGACGATCATATAGACACCGTCTTCAGCCTGAATGCCTAGGAGAATCAATCTTAATGTTGGTGTTTTCTCTAAACCAAGTATCTTCCTTTTCTTACCCTGAAGAATGGTTTCTTTGTCTTGAACAATTGGTGAACGCCCCTAATGATACACACCACCGCATTAGGGAGTTGTGGGAGCTGCCGGTGACCTTGGAGGCATAGATCTGAAGGATGAGCAAGCCAAGTAGAGAAGTTGGCAGAGACTGCAGAATCAGGCTATGGACTATAGCATGTTCATGGGCGAGCTTGAGGACAAAACTAATGTGATCTTTATGACAATAAATGAAATAAACAATATTTTCCTCAATAATATATTCTGTAGATTACAAGCCTATTTATATATACATGAATTTCATCTATACTAGACAAGTGTCGCTTAAAACCAAATTTACTTTGACAATTGTTCCTAAAGGTAAGGAGAGATTAGCTGTGATTTAATTTGATTGACAATTAGTCTACATATTTAACTAACTTTGACAATTAGTCTCCTTAATTAGCTCACTTTGACAATTGCTAACTTTGACAATTAGTCTCCTTAATTTGCTCACTTTGACAATTAGTTCACTTTGACAATTAGTCTTCTTATGTTACTCACTTTGACATCCCCCCTTAAATTGATGATGATTCTCAGCAAGCATCAATTTGCTCACAAGATAGGAATGACGTGTAGATGAAATGGGTTTAGTAAATAAATCAGCAAGTTGGTTATGAGAAGATACATGTGTGAGACGAATGAACTTGTCACGAACCAAATCACGAATGTAGTGGCAATCAACCTCAATATGTTTAGTTCGCTCATGGTGAACTAGATTTGTAGCAATGCTGATGGCACTTGTGTTATCTCCAAAAAGCATGATAGGTTGGGTGCAAGTTATTCCGAAATCTGTGAGAAGCCGTTGGAACCATACAAGTTCAGAGCTAACAGATGACATAGATCGATACTCCGCCTTAGTAGAAGATTTTGAGACACGTTCTTGCTTTTTATATTTCTAAGAGATAGGAGAATTTCCCAAGAACACACACCATCCTGTCGTAGAGCGTCGGGTATCAACACAACCAGCATAATCTGCATTAGCATATGCCATAAGTGTGAGAGAGGAGTGAGAAGGAAAGAACAATCCACGACCACAAGTTCCTTTTAAATATCGCAAAATGCGATGAAGAGCTGAAAGATGAGGCTTTCTTGGTTGAGAGACAAACTGACTGACAACTTGCACAGCAAAGGAAATATCCGGACACGTAGTGGTGAGATAAATAAGACTCCCTACTAAACGGCGATACAAGGTAGGATCGGACGGAGATGTGCCTTCATCACTTTTTAACTTTAAATTTTGTTCCATTGGAGTAGAGCAAATCTTTTGATCCGTGAGATGGGCCAACTGGAGAAGGTCTTCAATATATTTTCTTTGAGTTAGAAAAATTCCATCAGATGTATATGAAACTTCTAAGCCAAGAAAGTAGAAAGTACGTAAGAGTGCCAAGATCTTTCATAGAAAATGAACTTGTGAGAAATTGTTTGAACTCTGTAATACCTTGAGAATCACTACCAGTAATGACCATATCATCGACATAGAGAAGTAAAATAATAATTCCACCAGTAGATTGACGAGTAAAAAGTGAGTGATCATTAGAGCTCTGTAGAAAACCAGCGGAACAAACTGTAGATCTAAATTTTTCAAACCATGCACGAGGTGCTTGTTTAAGACCATACAGAGATTTTCGAAGTTTGCAAACCATATTGGAACCAGCATAATCATATCCAGGAGGACATTTCATATAAATTGTTTCGTGCAAATTGCCATGAAGAAATGCATTTTTCACATCCAATTGATGAAGGTGCCACTGCTTGATGGATGATATAGCAAGAATAGTGCGAATAGAAGTCATTTTTGCCACAGGAGCAAAAGTTTCATCATAGTTAATCCCATATTCTTGTTTATATCCTTGAGCCACAAATCTGGCTTTGTATCGATCAAGAGTGCCATCCGACTTCACTTTAATAGTATAGATCCATTTACTCCCAATCATAGACATATCAGATGATTGAGGAACTAAATCCCAAGTATGATTCTCCTCAAGGGCCCTAAGTTTTTCTTCCATTGCTTTTCTCCAACATTCTTGTGTAATAGCCTGGTTATAAGTAGAAGGAATCTGAATAGAATTTAAATTGGCAAAGAAAGAGTAGAATGGTTAGAAGGAATCTGAATAGAATTTAAATTGGCAAAGAAAGAGTAGAATGGTGTATACCTTGTGGATGGTCTTCCAAAATTGACACGATTTGATCGTCTCAAAGATGGAGGAGGTGTTGTGGGATCAACAATGGAAGAGTTTGAGGCTGGACCTTCAAGAACATGATCATTTGACGGCAAAGTGGACGTTATCTCATCAACATTAAGGGTAGGAGGATTAGGAGAATCAACAAAATCATGTAAAAAGGAAACGGAAGAATGAGTAACATTTGGATGGGGAGAGAAAGAATAAAAATATACATTTTCAAAGAAAGTAACATGACGAGACACACGTATGCGATGACTCAATGGATCATAACAAATATATCCCTTTTGTTTATCACTATAACCAATAAATACACATTTAGCAGATTTAGCAGATAACTTAGTTCTTTCATGAGGAGGAAGCAAAACAAAACAAATACAACCAAAAACACGAAGATGGGTATAATCAGGTAATCTATTGTAAAGAGCATAATATGGAGATTGATTACCAATTATAGGAGAAGGTTGTCGATTTATGAGATAGATAGCTGTATGTATAGCTTCAACATAGAATTTAGATGGAATAGATGATTCAAGTAAAAGTGTTCTAGCAATCTCCAAAACATGGCGATTCTTTCGTTCCACAACACCATTTTGCTCTGGTGTTCCAGGACAAGAATATTGAGTTAAAATGCCTTTCTCTTGAAAAAAATTTATAAGATTCGAAGCACAGAATTCTCCACCAGAATCTGAACGAAATATTTTGAGAACTAATGAATCTCCCACAG